AAAGCCTGACTCACAGATGAACACTATACAGAAGCCTGATGATGGCAGATGAGATTCTGCCGAAACGTCACTACAACTTTAAAAGCACAACTACTATGACGTGGGAAAATACCCGAACAAAGCTGAATGCCATATATACATATACATATACATATACATATACATATACATATACATATACATATACATATACATATACATATACATACACATACACATACACATACACACACACACACACACACACACACACACACACACATATATATGTTATATATATGATAAAGTGTGAAAAAGTATTATTGTGTTGCTATTTCCAACTGATTATCCCAGCAACAAATCTAAAATTAGATTTTAAAATCCCCAGAGGGTTTTTAAAAATCCTATCATCTGTTTGAGAATTCCACATGAGAAGGACATATTACTGAGGTAATCGCTGAAGTAGCTGAAGTGATGTAATGAATATTGCCATCATTTTCTTTTGCAAAAATATATGTATAGTGATGTGTATAATGCTCCAGGGATAAAATTGGTGACATTTTTAGAAATTGCAGTTATAAAAATGAACAGAAGTTGCCATTCTCATTTATATAAAAAGAACAGTAACAGAAGCTTGATTAAGGCTTTAAACAGCTGAAGAACATGACATGTCCTATCTATTGGTATTTCAATATCTTATGCCAAATCACAATGTAAACTGATTCATTTTGAAATCCAGGCTAAACCTGGCAAAAAAGATAATCACTGAGACAGGTTAATTATATCACCCATTTACTCCTTTTCAAGTCTCTAACTCTAGTGTCAAAAATCTTTAGTGTCATGGTTATTAAGTTAATATAGTAAAACTGCACAATCATAGCCTAAAGTAGTGCTTTGCATACTTCAAATACTTAAGTATTTATATAACTCATGAGTGTCAAACTCGTGGCGTCACATTGCCATCATATGATGTTTCGTGATGTTTTTACAATTCATGGAGCTGGGGTGGGCATGGCCTGGTGAGATGCATCTGGCCCCCAGGCCATCAGTTTCACACCCCTGATATATCTCTATATTACAAAACTTATATATTTCTAAATACAGTTAGTGGGTAAGGGCACGAAGCTCCATTTGTGCAAGTGGTAGGCAAGCACGTGTGAGAAACCATCTCCCCACCACCAAACTTCCAGTCTGCGGAGCCAAAAAGGTTAGAAACTGCTGCTTTACTGTACGCCTTCACATTTAAAATAGAAACCCAAATTTCCAGGACAATATATATGTTCTGAAGACATATTGTAGATATCTTAGCATATTCTTTCTACAATACATGAAATATTTTAGAATTCAGTTATGTGTACTTTTTAATTTAATTTCTGAATATGTGACCTTTTTGGTTGTAGCAGCTGACAGGAAATAAATGATGGCCTATATTAATGTAATTGCAGTATTAATCAGACTTTTCAGACCATCAACATTAGGCTATATTTCTGTAAACTAGTTATCACTTTGATGGAAATATGACAGTTGTGAGTTTTTAACACCATAAAATTATGTATGTGCTAGTGAATATTTTTACCAGCCCTGTCCATACATTGTTATGAACTTTTCCTATTGCTTCATATTTTCTTTTCCTATATGATTAAGCGGGGCATGAGGGCTTAGCAGCTAAAGATGCTGAGTTTGTTAGCTGTAGAGCTGAGAGACTGGGTTCAAGACC